GAAAGAAGATGTAGTTTGAGGGCCAGGGCGGCAGGGCGCACAGCCAGAGACTGTGAGTCGTGCTGGGGGATCCCGACTTGGGCGCACCTGTCTCGAGGTGCATGCTTCTGGGAGTCTTCGCAGAGGCTGCTTCGGGGCTCATCGGGGGCCCTTGGGGGGCCTGTTGGGGGGCCGATCTGGGAGGCCTCTTGGGAGCTCACTTCAGGCGAAAGGAGCTCTTCGGAGTTTCTCCTCTTGGGGCTCCGAGGGCGGCTGAAGGAGCATCGCGGGCGAGGAGAACTACCCTCCGTCGTCATGTTTGGCTCATTTTGGGCTGCATCGCCCGCGCATGGCCGACGTTGCACCCGCCATGTCGGCGGGGTTCCCGATGTAGAGGGTCCTCGACCTCGGCGAGCTGCTCGCGGCAATCGACTGTGCCGTGGGCAGGAAGCATCTCAAGGAGTGGCTGCTCACAGAGGCCGGAGTCGCCGCGGCAGGTGCTATTGTGAGCACCAGCGTTGCAGCTGCAGGGCCTATGCAGTGCGACGCGTGCAAGGTTCTCGACAGCGATGAGGACCTCCTGGACGCGCACGGCGACGCGTCCAAGAAGGCCTCGGGCGAGGACATACGGCGCAGGCTGGTGGCCGTAGGCCAGCCCGAAGTGGCTCAGCAGTGGTGCCACTACCGCTCAGGGAGACGGGTTTGCGCAAACCAAGCCAACAAGCTCCTGCAGACGATCGACTGCGTGCTGGAAGTGCAGCGCTCCGATGGCGGTTCGGCTCCGGAACGCACCGCGCAACGTGTGGACAGTGACGGCGACGGCAAGAACAAGCACGAGAAGAAAAAGGCAAACACCGTGGAGGTGAAGACAGAGGGTAGCCTCGACGACAGGATGGAGCAGTTGAAGAAGCAGATCAGCACCTTTGAGGATAAGCTGACGTGGTTCGAGACAAAGCTCGATGGCCTCGTTACCAGCATCCAGGTCCAGATGTAAGTCTCGGACACATTTGCGAGGCAGCAGCAGACATGCAAGACAATTGTGGAAGTCCAGAAAGGCCGTGATGACGTCCACTTCCACAAGTTCGACGCTAAGCTGGAGGCGCTCGATCATGATCTCCTCAAAAAGAAGGGCTTAGAAGCTGCAATGGAAAGCTCACTGGCCAAGGTCGAGGCCATGGGCGAGGAGATGGACAAGCTAATATCGACATTCTCGAAGTCAGCCGTCGTCGACGCCGTTGGCCCGAGGTCCCCAGGTCAAGCAGAGCGATAAGTACGAGGTCGCTGGTGAAGCTTTGAGGCGCGCGTCGCGCTTCGGAGCGCCGACATCATTCCCTGATCAGCCACTGTGGGGTTCCATCGTTTTCTCGTGGCCTCCGCCGTGGCCTCGCGTTGTCGGCGGCCCGTCCCTGGGGTCACCGTGCTCTTAAGCTGCCGGCGCCAACTGATCAGATCGGCTCGCCGATAGGCCTTTGGGCGGCTGGGGTTGGCCTTGATTCCCCCAGCTCGGCGCTCTTCGACTGGGCCAGGAAGGGGGAAGGAGAGGAGATTTCAAACAAGGATCTGCCGCGACCACAATCCCGGGGAAGCATCCATTGCACGGTCGCATTGCTTGGCGTTCCGTGGCGTTGGCTGGCAGTGTTTGGCTCTGCTTTGCGTTGCTTCTTGCTTAGCGTTGCTTGGCATTGCACGGCGTTGCTCGGCGCTGCTTTGCATTGGTTTGCAGTGCTTGGCATTGCGTGGCGTTCCTTGGCGTTGCGTGCCATTGCCTGCCGTCGCTTGCCGCTGCTTTGTCTTGCTTGACAGCGCTTGGCTTTGCTTGGCGCTGCTTGGCATTGCGTGGCGTTGCTTGGCGTTGCGTTGCGTTGCTCTGCATTGCGGGGAATTGCTTAGCGTTACTTGACATTGCTTGGCGTTGCTTGGCGTTGCGCGGCGTTACTTCGCGTTGCTCTGCATTGCTTTGCGCTGCTTGGCGTTAATCGGCGCTGCGTGGCGATCGCTGACATTGATTGGCGTTGCTCGGCATTGTTGGGCGCTGCGTTGAAGTGCGAAACAAGACCAGACAGCCCAGGGAATGCAGTAAGGAGACGACACACAACAGCCCCGTGCAACGACACAGGAAGGACAGAAGACCAAGCTACCCCGTGGATCGCCCCAGTCAGGAAACAAGGCCAAGCAAACCCGCGGACCGCCACAGTAAGGAAACGAGACCAGGCATCCCGGGGAACGCCGGCCGGCGCAGGCCTGGCACCCACCAGTTCTTCAAAAGCGAGTACGCAAGACCCCCCTCAGGCAAACCTGATGGGAGACGGCATAACAACAAACATGCATGCTAGGTAACCAGAGAGGGAGAGAGACAGAGGCAAAGGCAAGAAGAGGGGTGTTAAGAGAGAGAGAGAGAGAGAGAGAGAGAGAGAGAGAGAGAGAGAGAGCGAGAGAGACAACGACACTGAAAGACAGAGAGAGAGAGAGAGGAGGGGGGGACCCAGTCGCCTGGATGACGCCCGTCTCAACGGAGTCGACCATCTCGGAGGAGTTGGCCTCCAACGCGGACGACGTGTGCAGGGTGGACTGCACCTGACAATCAGGATAGCCCCCCATCACCCCACAGATGGAAGAGGCAAGGGAGACGGAGGAGGAAACGGGGAGCGAGAGGCGAGGAAGGACGACGAATACGAAGAGGAGGAGGAGGAGCGGAAGGAGCAGGAGCAGACGCTCGAGAGGGAGCAGCAGAACTGATCCCCCTGACCAAGCGTCCTCCACCCCAACCCGACCAACCACAACTGGGGCCGCCTCAGTGTCGGCAACAATTACAAGGACTTAGCGCAAATCGTTTTCAAAATGGGGCTCTCGCCTAAGCGCCGCACACATTCGCTTTTACTGCAGCATTCAATCGGATGGAGGACTGTTCTGTTTCAACCTGGGGTTCTCGCTCCAGACTTCGTTACTTGGAAGCCCCGAAACTTCAGCACATGTAGCACTGCAGGGGTCAAGGGCGGCTCTTTTTCAGAATGAAGCTCTCGCTTGAGACTTCATCTAAATGTAAATTTGGGTGACACATTACCCTGCGACGTACCCAACCCTTTCTACAAATGTGGCGATTCAATTCAGGACCGCTCAACGCAAGCCCCCCAGGGGGCGGCGAGGTCTCGAGGTGATCCGCGTGGGACGTACCTCCGCTGGGCCTCGCAGGAGCCCACGAACGTGGCGCCAGTTGCGCAGATCGCAAACCCCCCCCAGGGGGCGGCAAGGCCTAAAGGCGATCCGCGTGGGACCTACCTCCGCTGGGCCTCCCAGGAGCCCACGAAAGTGGCGACAGTTGCGCAGATCGCAAGCTCCCTAGGGGACGGCGAGGTCTCGATCGAGGTGATCCGCGTGGGACGTACCTCCGCTGGGCCTCCCAGGAGCCCACGAAAGTGGAGACAATTGCGCAGATCGCGAGCCCCCCAGGGGACGGCGAGGTCTCAAGGTGATCCGCGTGGGACGTACCTCCGCTGGGCCTCCCAGGAGCCCACGAAAGTGGAAACAATTGCGCAGATCGCAAGCCCCCCTGGGGGAGGGGGGGAGGGGGGGGGGCGAGGTCTCGAGGTGATCCGCGTGGGACGTACCTCCGCTGGGCCTCCCAGGAGCCCACGAAAGTTGCGACAATTGCGCAGATCGCAAGCCCCCCATCAGGGGCGGCGAGGTCTCGAGGTGATCCGCGTGGGACGTACATCCGCTGGGCCTCCCAGGAGCCCACGAAAGTGGAGACAGTTGCGCAGATCGCGAGCCCCCCAGGGGGCGGCGAAGTCTCGAGGTGATCCGCGTGGGACGTACCTCCGCTGGGCCTCCCAGGAGCCCACGAAAGTGGAGACAATTGCGCAGATCGCGAGCCCCCCAGGGGGGCGGCGAGGTCTCGAGGTGATCCGCGTGGGACCTACCTCCGCTGGGACTCCCAGGAGCCCACGAAAGTGCGGCGAGGTCTCGAGGTGATCCGCGTGGGACGTACCTCCGCTGGGCCTCCCAGGAGCCCACGAAAGTGGAGACAATTGCGCAGATCGCGAGCCCCCCAGGGGACGGCGAGGTCTCGAGGTGATCCGCGTGGGACGCACCTCCGCTGGGCCTCCCAGGAGCCCACGAAAGTGGAAACAATTGCGCAGATCGCAAGCCCCCCACAGGGGGCGGCGAACAGGAAACAGGAGAGGAGGAGGGGAGGAGAAGGGAGGAGGAGGAAGAGGACAAGGACAAGTCGCTCGGGGAGAGATCCGCAGCAGCGGCAGCGGCCTGGACCTACCTATACTCCCTGCGTGATATATGGACGCGGGCCCAACTCTGGGCCTGCCTGCGGGCGCGGACGGGGGGGCCGTTGCCCCTCGGTCCGCGGCCGCATACGGCGAGGGTGACGCACCTCGCACTCCCGCTTGCACTGTCTGAAAGGAGCGGGGGCCGTCGCTGGCCCAGTCCCTGGGCGAGCGGGGCCCCTGAGGGGGGGGGGAGGGGACGCAGAGGGGGAGGGAAAGAGCAGAACGATCGGGGTTAAAACTGAGGGCGGAAATTCGGGCAGTTATTCTTGAGCCAGGGGGCAGAGGGGAGGCGGGGGGCGGCGGCGGGCGGTCCTCGTACTTCGAGAACGCGCGCGCGGCGCGCGCCGCTCGCCGCTCGCCGCTCCGCTCCTCGTTCCTCGACCCGACCCCCTCTACCACCCCCCCCCTCCTCTAGCCGATCAGCTGCTCTGACAATAAGCCTCGCCCTGTTCCCTGGAAGTCGTTGTGCGGTACCACATCCACACTGCACATCCTGTGAAACCTATGTTGGTGCGTCCCTGTCGTCGCACTGCACACAGCCAAGAGTCGTCTACTGTTTGAGGCCCCCCTGTCCCATGCTGTCTGGTAGGAGGTCCTGTTCCTGTTGTCTCTTGGCTCGGTAATTTAGGGCATAATCATATAGCCTTTGAATCCTCTGGCTTTTGCTGGACAGTTTTTTCAGATTGGGTAACTGATAGGGGTCCATGCTAATGTTATTGGCATTGATTTCCTCAGCAGTCACTGGCGGATAGTTTGGGGCGGGCCCCCCTCCTTTCCAAGTCACTGCAGTCCTCGGCACAGGCGGTGGGTCAGGCAACTGTAATCCTGATCTCTGATATGCATCTGCAATAGTATTGAATGTATCTTCTATTGTGCCGAAATCCAAAATCATATCGGGGTCAACGGCCGTCGAGCTCGAGCTGCCAAAAGGACCCCTCATCTGCTGGTGCTGGATTCCCTCTTGTGGCGTCCTCAACGCCTCTGGAGCTGGCGCAGGTTGCGCTCGCAAGTCCTCTCCAGCTCCGTCTTCGGGCCGCTGCTGTTGCTCTTCTTGCCGTTGGCCTCCTGCAGTCCGCGCTCGATTGCCGCCTTCAGCAGCACCGGTTGGAACAGGGCCAGCTTCTGGATGGTCGCCTCCTCCGCCTTCGTGTCTTTCAGCACCATCGCCAGGTTGGGCATCGGGTTGACCGAGAACACCAGCTTGCCAAGCTGATCTGCTTCTTCCGTGCCGTCCTTTTTGTACGTGTTCGTCGCCTTGCACAGTAAGATTGTCTCTGCCAGGACCACTGGGCCGTGCTCCTCGCTCACTGCCTGGACGAACTCCGTGATCATCGCCAGCGTCTCCTTGTCCCTCTTGTTGGGGTCCATCTTGTCGTCGAGCACCTTCTGGACCGCCTTCAGCATCGACAGGGCTGCATGAATGTGTGGTGGGCCCAGACCGTGGCCTTTTCCTTGAGCTCGTACTGCCGCCGCGTAATCTTTTCCCGCTCCACTGGTGTCCTTGAACGGTCCGCTTGTGATCGGCAGCAGCCAGAAGCTCGTGTTGATGTGCATCAGGTCCCTGGCCTCCTGCGACGTCCTCAGCGCGAGCTTGTGGAGACTGGCCAGGTAGTCTGCGAACCCTGTTGCGCCACCTCCTGGCGGTCCGCCTCCCCCCCCGCCGTTGTTGTCGCCCTTGTGCTTCTTGCCCTTGTCCTGCTCCTCTGTCGGTTCTGGTCGCTTTACCCCCTTCTGGCCGACGTGCCACATGCTGCTGAGACTGCTTGTCGGTTGTCAAGCGCACTTCCCTGGGGCCGACGTGATGCTTCCTCGCGTGAAGCTGGAAAGCCGAGAGGTTTTGAGCCTCAAGGCCACAGATTTTACAGACGAGGTCCCCTGGTTCCTGGACAGGATGACCCCACTTGCTTCGATTCACATGGCAGATCCCAAAAATGTCCGCTGCTCGAGTACAGTGATCTATTGCTGCCCGTCGATTGTTGAACGTACTCAAGCACCAGGGGCACTGGTTTGTTATCACTAGCTGTGCCACGAGCGGACGTACATTGTGTACAGTACGTCTGTGCCCCGCAAGGGCCTGGGCCGTGGTAAACCTACGCCCGCGCAAAACCTCTGTCCCGTCGGAAGTGCCTATTGTGTGGTCGCACCAGTAATCTTTCTCCACCTCTCCCACCTCCTCTTCCCCGTCGTCCCCATCCACCTGACTCCAGTGATACGCTGCACTTCGCAATATAGTTGGATCCGTCGTTGTGAATCGTTTCCATTCCGCACTTCCTGGTCGGAAGAGGCTGAGGTCGGATTGCCTGTCCTGGAACCATTCCCCGAAGTCTTCACTAGTGGCTGCAAGGGCGCTCAGGTCCTCTAAACATTGTTTCGCCCAGGGGGTGGCTGACGTTGTGATGTTGTCATTAGCAATTCTATTTACCCCTTCTGAAATATCCATTACCGAATCTCCGAATACTGCCGCAAGCACTGCTCCGTGGTCCGCTGGGTACTGTGCCCAGCGCATGTACCAGCGTATCCGTCGCACCCGCAAAGCTACTGCCGTCCTCTCTAGCCTCCATTCCCTGAATACCCTGTCCGTGTTGTGACATCTAATACTCCCGTCCTCCCTCTGCCAGCTCATGTCTCCTCCACTCAGTGACCTTAAGAACTTCGCTAGTACAGCGTCGATGGCATTGGTAAGCTTGTCTGGGAGCACGAGTGCGGTCAATCCGCTGAGTGCCGCTCCCATGACGAACGCTGTGAACATCATGCGCTTGATGGGCTTCGGGGTTTTGCTGCTCCAAAACGCTCCCCCCTGACGCCAGGCCAGCCTTGCCGCCTCGCACCGTCGATGTACTTCCCCGCTGAAGCCTTGCTCACTAGGAAGGTAGGGTCCGAGCACTCTCATCTCACGCATCGTGTTGCCTTTAATCGTCTTGCTTTTGCGCAGGAGTCGTGTCGTTCCAAAGCATCCTTCCCCTCTGATGTGGAGGAGGTGGTTTGTTTTCTGCGGGTTGAGGCACCAGTTTCCCTTAGCCAGTTTTGCCTCAAGCCGTGTCGTCACACCATTGAGATGACTGATTATGTCTGCTGCTGCTGTGTTGGGGAGGAAGGTGTGTTTTCGTGATGTCGTCCATGAAAGTATTGAGGGAGAGGTCGTGTATTTGATTGCTCACTGGGTTGATTGTGTCGTGCAGTGTTTGTGTAATGTCTTCACGTTCTTGCTGGTGCCACTGGTCGACGTAAATGTCGTAGCAGTCGTTGAACTGTCCTGGGGCGAGTGTGAAGCCCATTTGTGCTCCGTCACTGGTAGCAACGTGTACTTGCCCGTCTGCTGTGTTCATGGTGAGACAGGCGTGATTGATTGCTGCCATTGCGAATGGTTTGTCCTCGTCACATGTGTGCTTCCAGGCAACTGCCTGGAGAAGACGCCTGTCTGTGCTCGCAAAGGCATTTGTGCAGTCGTAGTTCGAGTGTATTGTGCTGTAGCCTGCTTGAGTGGCCCTCCATTGCGACGCCTGCACACACAGGATGGAGTTCTCTCTGCACCGGTGGGCGATCCCTCCCTGAGCCCAGGCAGGATGTAGCGCTCTCTCCCCCCGTCCTGGTATTCCTGAGTGCCAACTCATCCCAAAGCTGCAGTACGCATGCATTATACGCTTCCCTGCAATCCCTGATTTGCTGTTGTGTTTGTCTGCGTCGAATGCCATGCTGCGATGCCAGTCGAGCGGTGTCGCTCGTGTCGTACGGCACAGGCACAATAGGTCGTCCAGTCGTTGCTGAAATACGTACTTCACACTGCTGTCTCTCATGATCGTGGCGCTGCCTAACCCTGCTCTCTCTGCACGTCCCACAAAATATGGTGCTGTCGTGAGATGGTCAAGCTCTTGCCCCGTCAGTGGCTGCCCAGAAGTCCTCAGCTGCATACCCTCCAACCAACCCATTTTTTGCATCAACTGTCGTCCCTTCTTGTATTTGAACAGCGTAGTGTGCTTGGCTAGCTCCTCCTCATCCTTCTCCTTCTCTGCTCTTGCTATTGCTCTCTTCTCCAGCCTCTTACTTGCTTCGTCTGGGTCCTCTAGATGGGCCTGGGGATCAAGCAACATCCAAGCGCATTCAATCGGAAGGCCCCAGGCTGGCCAGGCGCGTCTCTTCTTCGCCCTGCGGCAATATCTTCGCATAGCACGCTTGTCTTTCTCTACGGCGTGGAGGATGGTGTGGTCGAGGGGGGCTGGGAGTTCTCCTTCTGCCTGATGCTGCTCATGCTGTGCTCTCTCCTCCTGAACATCCATCTGCGTCCCTCCCAAACCTCCCTCGTGCGGGTGCTTGCCCAGCTCGTGTAACCACTGCTCTGCTGTCCAATGTGGTTTTGGGGAATAGTAGAACCGTTTTTTGGGGCCCCTCCCATTCATGTTGTATGCAATCCGCAGTCTGTGCATCTCAGCAAAGTTGGAAGCTTCGTACGCTTCCCAGATCTGTTGTACAATCTGCGCACGTCGCTTCACAAGGCTGTCCTCTCGCATTCTTTTCAGCAGTGCCGTCACAGTAGCCAGGTCTTCCAGAAGTCCGTCGTACTGCTCTTGTGTGATGTCGGGTCGCATGTTCGCACGTATTTCACGTCTTTGTTCAAGAAGCTCCATGCGCTTACATCTGACCATTTTTACGTCATCATCTACCTGCTGGTCTGCTTTGCCGAAAGACTTTCGAAGGGCTTGCCTGGTTGCATTGCCGAAGAGTTGCCATGCTGCGTCGGGTGTGCTACTCTGCTTAGCCTGCTCCCACTCGTCCTCCCCCATCCCTCTCATCTCCTCGTCCAAATGCTCGAAGAACTGAAGCCTGCCCCTCCCCCTCCGCAAGCACTCCATGAGCAGGTCGGCGTTCACGCCTTTGTCGTCGTGTCTCCAGCCTGGGAAGAGGTTGGCGCCTAGTCGGAGGGGGAGGTCGATTGAGACGGGTAGGTGATCTCTGTGCCATCTGCTCTTGTGTAGCTGCAGTCTCTTGCCTATGGCTCGTAGTGTGGCACATTTACTGGATATGGTGCGGGCACCTGTCGGCAATAGTATGTGGTCGATTCTGGTCTCCTGTCCCTGGAACCCGTAGTAAGTGGGCCCAATACTAGTGAAGGTTGTCGCTATGCTCATGCTATTCCTCTCGCAGAACCTGCGCACTTCTTTACCGTTATCATTTTCCAGCCTCGGGTCGCAGGGTCCTACGTGTCGGCCTTCACTTGATTGTACTATACCGTCAGGTGCTCTGTGCAGTCCAAAGTCACTGTTGAGATCCCCCCCTACTATTGGAGTAGTACGGGCGCCCAATTTGTCTATCTCACTCTCAGTCCAACTCATGATTCTGTTGGCAATAGTAGCGTATTCTTTGTAGTGCGTCGGTGCCAGGTAGAGAGCAAACACTGCAATGTCTACCTCGGATGTCTGTAATCGTATGCCCGCTGCTCGTCCCTGTATCTGTGCTGGCGGACTACTTGTACTGCGCAAACTCTCGGGCGGGAGCCTTTTCGAGACAAGAATTGACACTCCACATGCTTTGGCTACCCATTTTCCTTTTTTTGCTCCAAACCTGAGTGCCCAGTGTTGTGGTAGTTCTGTTTTCTTCACGCTCTCTGGTCCCGCCCACTCGTACGTCCCGCTGAGAATAATAATGTCCCAGTCTCTCAGAGCGACGCTTATGTCCTCTAATCTTTCGCTGCCGCTAGCTGAGTATGGATTGTACGTCACAATGCGCATGGTCGTCGCCGCTGCTGTCGTCGTCACTAGGGGCGAGAAGTCTCTACCATGGCGCAGGCGGCGGTCCCCCCTCAACACCCTCTGGCCTAGGTGCTGTTGGGGGCCCTCGAAAGTCGGCGGGCGCTCTGTGCGTGTGGGCTCGGTCGGAAATAGATTCTTAAGCCCCTCGCGCCGACTAGGAGGAAGAGGAGGAGGAGGAGGAGGAGGAGAAGGAGGACGGGACGACCACACTGCTCTATTCAAACCGGGTACCCAACACAGGAGGGTTGGGAATTACATGGATGCGGGCCGGCCCTTCTTCGAAAAAAGGGTATCGCTAGACACCTCGTTGACCGCTATGGTCATTGTTTCCGCATTTCCGGCCATGTGCCAAACAGATGCAAAACTGATCATTTTCAAACCGGGGCCCTCACAAAAAAGACAAACCCAACTGCGCTGGTTTTTCAAGGGAGCGCCTCTTGTAGTGAAACAGAAAGCTTGTAGGGACGTGTGAGCAGAGGACTGAGGACGGGAGGCTGTTTTGCAGCATCACTGACGCAGCTTGCTTTTACTCTGGACCGTCTCCCTTCTCCTGCCTCTCTTCTTCTTCTTCCTCCTCCTCCTCCTCCTCCTCCTCCTCCTCCTCCTCCTCCTCCTCCTCCTCCTCCTCCTCCTCCTCCCCCTCGCGCGTCATCAAAATCCAAACCATCGCCGCCGCCGCAGCCGCCTGACATGATTCGCGCGGCCTGACCGCGCGGCTGCGCTTCAAAGGGCGACGACGACAACGACGACGACGACGACGACGAGGACGACGACGACGACGACGACGACGACGACGACTAAGACGACGACGACTAAGACGACGACGACGGCAACGGCGACGGCGACGGCGGCGGCGGCGGCGGCGGCGACGGCGACGGCGACGACGACGGCAGCGATGCTGGCGGCGACGGAACCCGCACGGCGGCGGTGTCTTGGCCACGCTGGCTTCGGGTCCGCCCGACCGCGGCCCAGCGCCCGCCCCCTCCCCCCCGGGGGCACCAGCGACACCGCATCCTCCACGTGGCACTCGCCTGGCGCGGCGAGGGAGGGGCCACCCACGCGGAGAGCGCCGCACAGCACGAGGGATTCACAAAAAAGCCTTGGGAGGCGCGAGGGCTCGAGGGAAGCCCCACTCGAGGGCCAGGGAGGGCGTGCCAAACAAGGGGAGGGGGTGGGGGGGGCAACAATTGGGGGTCTCAGAAAGGTGAGGTGACAGAATACCGTGCGGCGACCTCGAGAACCCCAACGACCCCACCGCACGGACCGTCACCGCGCACGGTTTCGGGACCTCAGAGTCCCCAGTCGCCCGAGACGCACTCGGAGAACGACCCAGGTCCCAAAACCGTGCGGTCACCCCGAGTCCCCACTGACTCACCACACTGCACCACACCAACTGCGGGCCCTCAGCACAGGGGTGGAGCCCACCACTGGTCTGTGTACAGTGGCTGTGTTCTGGCGCGCGTGCATTCGGCATGTTTGTTTTCCACACGCTTCTGGCCTTCGTTTTCATGATTGTTTTGCGCCTGCTGGCGGCCTCCGGGAGGTCCCCCCTGCCGGCGGCCCCCATGGAGGCCCCTGGAAGTCTCCTTGCCTGGAGGGCCATGAAAGCCTCCAGAGGCTGCCTGGAAGTCCCCCGCGAGCCCGGGCCCGACCAGGTAGGCCCTCCAGGAGAGCCTCGTCGCCAAGGGCTGGGAGCACACTGGCCTCCTGCGGGCTCCCTCCTGGGAAGGCTTCGGGGGGGGCCTCGCCATTCTCCCTGGGGCCCCCCCACACACCTTGAGACGCTGCGAGCCCAGCTTGGGAGGAAGAGAAAGAAGGCCTGATGGAGGCTTCCAGGAGCTGGAGGCCATGGGCCACTCTGACGACCACACCATACCATACGCTGAGGCACGCCTGGGTCCCATCCAATCCACCAACGTCGCCTTCGCGGGAACGCGCATGGAAGCGATCCAGTGCAAGCGGGAGTCCAGGCCTCCGAAAACGCCCTGAAGATACCGCGCGATGCCCCCTGCAGGCCTTGGAAGTTCCCTGGAGAATTCGCAGAGACCCCTTGTTGGGGGGAACGAAGAGATCCCCTTACCGCTACTCCACGGCCCTCTCCGAAGTGTGGTCTGACCTGAATCCCGGGGATAATCCAGCCGTGGCGACCAGGGCTCTCCAGGACGGGCGGCGGCATCGGTATCTGTTGCTCCCCTGATCTGTCCTGTGTGCGTCGGCGGTCGGCTGTGCTGTGCGCGGCCGCTCCGCTCTGGTCGCTGCTGCACGTGCCCACGTCTCGCTGGAAGGCGTCACGCTCATGAGGTCCAAAACCCGGATAGCAAAACGTCCGAAGGAATTGTGGCGTCCCAAACCAAGATAGCGGCGCGGTCCAAAGCGCGGGAAACGCTTCTTGGAGACGTTTGCAAGGATGCTGGGCAGCATGCGTGGAGAGAGCTTGAAAGTCGAGAGAACGCCTCTACCAGACGCGCGCGAAGGCGCTGGAAACCATGCCTGCGGAACTTGCAGGCTCGAGAAAAGCGCTTCCAAGGAGCTTTGAGGCAGCTGCGAAGGATCTGCGGAGAAGCTTCAAACACGCGTATTGGGCTCGAGTCGGAACACGTTGCATATTCAAGCAATGCGTTCTGGGGATGCCTGCCCGGGAGCCTTGGAAAGGTGCTGGCCTACCGTGCGCTACCGGCTTCAAATATGAAGCCCTCTTAGCTCTCAGAGAGCATCCGGGAACAGCTTTATGACTTCCTCAGGTCGGAAAAATTGAACGACCTGTTCAGGTCGGAGCACTTTTAAACATGCCGGAGAGTATTCCTCGGCGGCTTGCAAGCCCGAGAAAGGAGCTTCGCGGGAGCTGCAGAACAGGCCGCAGGCACTTCTATTGGGAACGAGTAGGAAAGCGCTTGCTGGAACAACACGCTGCAGGTTCAAGCAAGTCCCACCAGCCCTTTGGGCGTGAGAGGTTTAGAGAGCCCGCTCTGTCCTCAACCCCCCTTCTTCCCCTTCGGGGAGGGGTTTACCCCTCCCCCTACCCCCTCCCCCTGGGCCTGGAGAGAGGCCCCGGCGGGTGGTCAGGGGGGTCTTTTTCGACTCCTGGGAGGGTCAAAAAACGATTCTGGGGGTGGACACTCGCCTCGCGCGCTCTCATGCTGCCTGGAGGAGGCGCACTCGAGGCCCTCCGAGGTCCAAGAGAGTACCAGGCGAGCGCCTGGATGTGTCACAAGCGTTCTCGGACTCTGTGAGGTACCCAAAAGGCCGTGGCAATACGCATTCTGACATTCCCGCCAGTGCATGCTGAAGACGCGTACGCGGCACTGGCAGAAGCGGTCAACACCGAATCGATAAATGGGGTCGGATCGGACCGTGCGTGAGGTCGGGCCGCATCGGCACGGAGTCGGGATCGAACCGAACCGGCCGCGTCAGGATGCACAACAGAGACATACAAGAATCGGGCCGCATCGGATCGTCGGAACAATACTTTTTGTTGATCGGATCTGGCTGGCCGGAATCGACATCGAATCGCATCGATCGGATCGAAATGAACCCTGCGCTGGAGGTCCCTGCCGGCTCGGACACTCCGAAACACATTCTGAGGGCGAGGAGGACACCCGCAGTGGGTGCTACGGAAACATGGGCACGATGTCCAACAGCCAATGTTGTCTCAAGCTGACAGTGACCACTGTTGGGTATGCCACTCTCTGGCTCAAGTAGACAACGTCCGCGGCGACACCGACAGCGAGCCCTCATCAGAACGAAAAGGAATTGCTGTCGATACTTGTGCCAATACCCACTTCTACCGTATCGAAGGAGAACGCACCCTCGGGAGGGCCACGCGCGGGAAAGCCCGCAAGAGTTCGACACCCCCCGCCGCCCACCTCAGGGGGGAAACGGCGGAGCCACGCCGCAGAGCGTGTGCTGGATGTGGGGAGGGCTGGGCTGCAGCAGGAGGCGGCTCGACCCTCCTCCTCCCTCCTCCTCCTCCTCCTCCTCCTCCTCCTCCTCCTCCTCCTCCTCCTCCTCCTCCTCCTCCTCCTCCTCGTCCCTCCCCCAGCAAAACATCATCAGCTACGATGCTGCTGCGCGCAATAATACCGGCAGTGGCAGCTGCGGTGCGAGAAGACAAGTAGTGGTAACTTGGTATGTCGGTACGCGAAGGCGGGAAGTAGCAGCAGCGTTTGTCGTTGGCCGAGTACGACGCACGAGCAAAACATCATTAGCTACAATGCTGCTGGGGACAGCTCGTGCAAGACAATAGGCTATGGACCAAATATATTGTGGGTACCACGCCCAGGACGCCTTCCGCTTCAACACTGGAGTGGCACATGCCGCAAGAACAAATCAAAAACTCGTCGCCCAAGAAAGGTCTGGGGGTACGGTAGACGGGGTAGGCTTGGTTTGACGCGGCGATCCGTGTTCGAAGCCCTAACGGTTTTACATTATTTTCAAACGTATTCCCCATCCTCTCCCCCTGCTGGCGAATCCCCTTTGCCGATGAATGGCACTGGGTCGAAACAAGACGATGGCGGAGGCGGCGACGGCGAGAAATGAGCAGAGGGGGCTCCAAGGACTGTAGCGCAGCACTGCGTGCCGCTGCTGATTCGGTGCAGGAGCTGCTTGGCCCAAGCAGGGGCGGGGCGAATTTAGGCATCAGTGTTGACCGCGAGTCCACTAATCAAACGCATATCACCCTACTGTGTAGCACAGTCAAGCTACTACTACCGTGAGGAACACCGAATAAGCAACGAAGCTACTTTCGGGCCCCAGCAACCATGGAAAGCCTTAAGGAACAGCGACACCCTCCAGAACTCGAACTGATCCTTGTTTCAGCGTCTTGACTGTATGACCCAGGGAAGGCGAAAGATACCAACAAGCCGATTGAAACCATGATCGGGTCCCAACAGCACCGTAAGCGCAGGCATAGGGCCAGGTGGGGGAGAGAGCACAAGAAGGGGGGTGGCGACGACGACGGAGACGACAGCCAGGAGAACTCGAAGGCGGACGAGGAGCGACAATTGGATGCGAATGTCTGTGCAGAACCAGACCAACCTCCATCGGCGGGCGGCGGTCGCCGGCGAAACACAGCAGGGCGCCGACCAGGGCCTGGGCGACGCCCCTGCGAGACATCCTTCGGCGCGCGGCAGAGGTCCCCTCCCCCTTCTCCTCCGCATGCCTAGGCCTCCCAGCCCTCGTTCCCCTGCGACGGGTTCCCGCAGTAAGACCGTGGGCATTGGCTTCTGACACCGCGTGGACCGTTCAGCCTTGAACGAATAGTGGCTTTCTGACAGCGCACGTCGTTCGATTCCAGCCGATTCCAGGCCGCTGGCGGCATTCAACCTTGAAAGCCGCAGTGGGGTCGCCGCCGCGGAGACGCCGTCGCGAACCTTCAGTGGGTCGCTCAACTTCGAGCTTCGCGCCCCCGCGATGCGGGACGTGTGGTCATCCCTGCGCCCTCGCGCCTCGCCGCCGACGGAGGGGAGCCCCGTCTAGGGATGCAGGCCGCGAAGCGCGAGGCGCGATCACCTTCGCGCCAGGGCGGGAACCCTCGACTCGCGCTGCCGAGTGCAGGAGAAAGACGGCCAGTTCAGCGCTTGGTTCCAATTGCACTGTTTGAGTGCCACCAGGGCCGCCCGAGCACTGACCTCCTATCCAATCAGCTGTGGAACTACTGCCTCGGGGCCACCATCATTCAGGTCAGTACTCGGGCCTCCCAAACATCACCCGAAAGGACTCGGCTGAACCAAACGCCGATCAGACTCCAGTTCTGACCCCCGATGCCGCTCCAATCTCCCCATCTTTCGACCCTCCTTGGACAAGCCCTGGAGGCAACAAAACATCGCTCACCAATCCCCACTCTCAGTTGTCCCTCTCTCTTCCTCCGTGATCCTTCTGCCACTCCCTGCGTAATCCCTCTATCCCCACATTGCCCCCTTTCGTCTTCCTCCTCCCTCCCAGTCTCACTTGATCTTCTCTCTTCTCCTTCAACCGTCCTCTCACTCTCCACCTGTCCCTCACCCTCTCACTGCTCTCTCTCTCTCTCTCTCTCTCTGTCTGTCTCCTCTCTCTCTCTCTTTCTCCATCACTCTTTCCCTCTCCCTCCATATATATGCATGTATGTCTGCACATCTAAATGAACAAATTGTTGTGCAACATGTTCTATCCCCCTCTCTCTCTCTCTCTCTCTCTCTCCCTTTCCCTCTCCCTTTGCTGTTCCTCCTTTATCGTCGCCTCCCTCTTAGCCCCCTCCTCCTCCTCCTCCTCCTCCTCCTCCTCCTGCTGCTCCTGCTCCTGCTCCTCCTGCTCCTGCTCCTGCTCCTGCTCCTGATCCTGCTCCTGCTCCTGCTCCTGCTCCTCCTCCTCCTCCTGCACCCACCTCCCATTCCTGGATCCTTGTCCCTCCCTCCCCCTGCCCCCTCCATGCTCATTCGCGTCCCTCCCAAACATTCCCTTCCGCATCATACTCCCCCTGAGGGGCAACGATAGGAAGGGGACTGCTCAGAGGATAATCATTGACCTGGAAACGGCAATGCATTGCTGATAGATCGATCGGCGATAGGCACCCGATGGGAAAACCACATGTTCCTGGGTGGGGTGGGCTATCAGGCCTCTACCGACCATTCAGGCGAGGCGGGAGCCGATACATCCCCTCTGAGCATGTTCCCCCCCTAACGTTGCCCCCGACCGCCCCCCACTGGTCCTCAGGGTGGAATCGAGAGAGCCGTTGTGTGGACACGGAAATGAAAAGTCCGCCGGCCGCTTCGTCGGCAACCGAGGGCGCCGTCGTCCTTCGAGCCTGCGACCGCCCTCATCCTCCGCCACCTCATCCTGCTTCGCATCCCTCCTCTCCCTCCTCGTCGTCCTCCTCCGCCTCCTCCTCGTCCTTTCCTTCCTTCCTTGCTTCCTGTTTCTCCCTCCTCTCGCCTCCTCTTCCTTCTTCTCCGTTCCTCCTCGTCGTCCTCCTTCCACTTGTTCCTATATCAATAGCTCCTCCTCGTCGCACTGCCACGCTTGGGGCATGTAGCTCTCAACTCAGCGCCGCGGAAATGCGTCTCAAATGCCTCCCGCAGATACGCGGAATGAGGGCGGGCCGTTTTCAAAATGTAAATTGCACCTAGCGCTACGCACTTGCGTATTGATGGCTTCCGATAGCCACGAGGATGCAGCTGTTACACACATAATAGCAATTTAGCATCGGGCTGTGCCGGAACCATCCAGAGGATTGTATAATCGAGAGTGGAATCATGCGCCAAGTTTGCACGAACGGGTCCTTTTCAAAGCGGGCTTCTAACTGGCCCATTAACTTGCATATCTTTACATGTTTGGTGGAAGAAGACGGGCGGTTGCTGTTCAAATCAACGCTTATGCCTGAAGTGCAAGCCCATGGGACACTCGTCTTTCAGGGGGCCATTGGGCCTTAGGACATGAGGGTGTATTGCAGCATCGCTGATGCAGTGGGGGGGGTACTCTGGTGTTGCTACTCCTCCTCCAGCTCCCTCCCTTTTCCTCCTTCTCACTCATCTGCCTCTCCCCCTCCGCTCGCCTTCCTACTTCCGCCGCCCTCCGCCCTCCACCCCCACGCCATCACTCCTCAACCATCCTTCTTCCCTCCACCACCCCCCTTTCATCCTGATCCCTCCTCCGTCCTCCTCCCCCCCAATCCCTTCATCCCTCCACCCTCATCCTCCCTCATCCTCCCTTGATCGCTCTCCTACCTCTCTCTCTCTCTCTCTCTCTTTCCATCCCTGCCTTCTTCTCTCCTCCTAATCCTCCTCGCCGTCATGCTCCTAAGCACGCCGATTTGGGGGCCACTATCATCAAACGCCCAAAGGGGCCAAAAATCGAAGTCACACGCGGCGCCCGTGCGGAGGAGGGCAAGACCTGCGGGAAACCCAACTTTGAAGTGCGACGATGCGGGGGGATCTGCGGGGGGGGGACATCGAGCTTGAATTGGCGATACATCGCCGACAGATCTGCAATAGGCCCTCAATAGCGAAACCGCACCTTCCTGGGCGGGGTGGGCTGTCAGGCTCCTATCGGCGACCAATGGGCGGTTGGAGGTCGATGCATCCCCCCTGAGCCCCCCCCGGCAAAGTTGCCCCTGAAGCTTGAACTCGGCGACGTCGACGTGACCTGAGGTGAGACAGGTGCCGAGTTTTGCCCTCAACCCTCGAGGGTCGAGGGGGGGGGAGGCTTTCGGACGTGCTTGGACCTCGTCGGGGCTCCAGAGGCTTCCGGAGCTGGGGACCTCTGGGGACCTGCGCGGACCTCCAGGGGTCAGGAACTGGGGCGACCCCAACCCCCGACGTCGTGCTTTTTTTTATGGCGTGGGCCCGGCTTAGCGACCCATTCCCCGGAACCGGTTGTGCATCCCGAGTCAGTTTTGTCACGGTCCCGGTGCTCGGCGAGGGCCCACGGTCCCGGTGCCCAGCGAGGGCCCCTTAAGGCCGACAATCGCCAAAAACCTGGAGTCATGCCTTTTCACGACGCGGGGGGGACTGAAGCAGCAACACTTACCAGCGACCGGTGCCTCTGCAACCGAGTACGCCGGGAAAGGCACGCCAGGTCGGTGCCGATTCCCCTGGCACGGAGGCCGAGGCCACCATAAGACCGGGCGGGGAACCGTCGGCCCTGCCAAAGGCCCAGATTGTGCCAGGACTCCGGGCGCCGCGCAGCCGCCGCCGCGTCTTTGCCTCCTCCTCCTCCTCCTCCTCCTCCTCCTCCTCCTCATCGTCGTCCTCCTCGTCGTCGTAATCCTACCCTCCTCATCCGCACCCTATTCCTCTTCCTGTTCCTCCTCCGTCCCCCTGCATCTCCTGCTCATCATGCCCCGTCTGTCCCTGTCACTGTTCCTGGCTTCCCCCTCATCATCCTCATCCTCATCCTCATCCTCATCCTCATCATCCTCTACAGCATGTCGCCTCCTTCTGAATATATGACTCCACACTACATGGTCCGTTCGATGAGCGGAGAGGGACAAATCAACACGGACGACTAGGAGAGCATCCAGAAGCAGAGGGAGGCCCGATGCGAGGAACGGAGGAAGAAAAAGGAAAGAGGAAGGGGGAAATATGTGTTTCCGAAGTCAGAAGTCAGGAATCATTCCATCTGCCTGCGACGCTCCACGGGCTCCTCCCTCGTCTTCCTCACCCTCCAATTCGCGTCAGCGGGGATTGTGAATAGAGCGATCTGTATCCAGCCGCACGGGCAAAACGTGCACGTGTAGACGACACGGGCGCACTACCCCTCGTTGAGGGATACTGAGAGACTCACTAATGCGTTCTCTGTTTTTTGTTTCTCTCTCTTCATCTCTCTCTCTCTCTCTCTCGCTCTCGCGCTCGCTCTCACTCTCCTTCCCTCCATCCCCCTCGGATCTCTCGAAATGCGCGTCGGCTTGCCATGCGGCATCTTTATATAAGAAGGACAAGATAAACGGAAGGGCTCACTGGCGCATAGGGCCAATGGCTGCGGGCAGAATGGACGCGCAATAACTCTTGCACCACCAACGTGTCGCCCTCTCCGTCAGCGCATCAAGTCGAAATGGCTGTACCTGTCGCTCATTCCCATCATCCACTCACCTCTTCACGCACTTCTTCGGCGTCGAGGCCACGCACTCAGCTGCGTAGCGGAGCCAGGCTCAAGCCGAGGAGCGAGCGCGGGCGCATGCCAACTTAAAGGCAACAGGGGCATGCCGGTTCCATCCGTTTGGAACCGCGCAGCACATCTTTCGATATACACACACACACACACACACTTTTGAGAGTCGCAGGCCAAGCCATACCTCAAGCAGCTCGAAAAAAGTGACCGCCAACGGTCGCACGCCTGCTGGGTAAGGAAGCGAGTCCGCCGGACCCTCAGGGGGCAGTGGCGAGGCAAGGCGGGCAACACACACACACACACTCTCTCACACACACTTAATATATGTGTATATATATACAAATACACACCTACACACCTCCAAAAACCTCCCGACTTGGCAGGGTGAGGGGGGAATGCGGGAAGGACGGGGGATAGGGGCAACCAGGAGTCCAAAGTCATGCCCCCCTTCTTTCCTCTCCAGCCTTCCGCCCCGCCGCGACGGGCGCTTCAGCACAGGCTCATGGGCCCCGACAGAGCTGCCTCCCCTGCCACCTGCCAGCCTCTGTTTGGAGGCTTGGAAATCAGGGGAGGGGCCTCCAATGGGAGAAGATGACCCTAGATCTCGGTGTAGGTGGAAATCTTTCGGCCACCCAAAAAGCCCGATTGTTACCACCATCGCCGAGATCGGGGTCATCTTCTCTCAGTGGAGGCATACTTCCGATATTGCTGTTGGTGCCAACCTTTAGGCCTCTCTCTCTCTCTCTCAGAAGGCCTGCACCCTCTGGCGACTCCCTCCTCAGACATCCGATGTATTGATTTTCTCATGGAAGAACGACGCAGGAACTGAAACGATGAATGCATACGATGTCTGGGTCTGTCTATCTGCCCCTGGCCCCACGCCAGAACCTGCCCCCAAGCCGCCTGGTCCCGCCACCGCTCGTCCCTTCTTATTCTCTCTCTCTCTCTCTCTCTCTCCCTGTCTCTTCGCCACTGGCCCGCACCCGAAGAGCTCCGACTCGCGGCGCGGGGTGGAGCGAGGGGGGAGAGCAGGGGGGGCCAGGGGGGGGAGAAAGAAAGAAGCGAGGTGGGGGAGGGGGCGAAGAGAGGGACAGTTCCCGGAGCGAGGGAGAGAGAGAGAGAGAGAGGAGCGGGGGGAGAAGCGAGGGAGCGGGCGAGAGGGGCCTGAGGGTGGGTGGGGAGAGGGGCCTGCAGGGGGAAGGGGGCTGGAAGGATTGAGAGAGGGAAGGGGTCCAGAATCGAGGCACGGGCAGCAGGGTGTGGGACAGGGCGGAACGGGCGGGGGATGGAGGGACGGAGGAGGAGGAGGAGGGCATCGGCGCCGCGCGAACCTGTCCGCAGCTTCGAGGCTTCAAGGAGCAGGGGGAGGAGGAGCAGGAGGAGCAGGAGAAGGAGAGGAGGCGAGGAGACGGCGACGACGACAACGACGACGATGATGGCGACGACGACGACGACGACGACGACGACGACAGACGATGGACCACGGACGACCAACAACAACAAGGGGCACGAAGAGGGGGAGCAGGAGAGAGCAGAAAGACGAAGAGGGGGGCAGAGGCCGAAGAGGGAGGAGGAGCAGAAGAAGCCATCGCGATAGGAGATCTGAGGGAGGAGGAGAAAGAGGGAAGCCAGGGGCCAGCAGGAGGGGCTCCTGGGACGAGGCAGGGGCGAGGAGGCAAAACACGGCAAGGACAGGGGAAAGGTTCAGAAGGCAGGGCATGGGGCCCAGGGCCCCCTCTTTCTTGATCATCCTCCTCCTCCTGATCCTCATCCTCCTCATCTCTCCTGGTATTGACAACGGGGCGACGGTCGATTACTTTCCGAAACGCCTCTCAAGCAAGGCAACCTAGCTGCAATACCACACACGAAACATATACATATATACACATACACATATATATATATACACAACATGTGTGTATACATGTTTATATGCACATCCTCACTCCCTTCGGGTGGTACGAAAAATTGGGGGTGTGGCGCAATATTCGGTTTGCGAGTTGCGTCCGGACGGGCTCCAAATTGATGTGTCTCCTGACCTCGCTGTCAGTCTTAATGACAACCTGGCGATATCAACACATATCGGCCACTCTTTTCTGATATCGCAACAACCATACGAATCATGCAATCTGTATCCATCCGTTGACAGACAATAGATCGGTCGACGGAACTGTGTGACGGACTCAAGATACAACGACCACCATCACTATCAATAGAGTCAGGTGTACGTTGAAATACGAAAACGCAGATATATACATGTATGGATGTACACTTATAGCGCGTAACGCAATACATGAGCATATCTGTACTTACGTATAAAAAAAACACATGTGGAAACTACGTGTCGACAGAAACACATGCCGATCGATCCCAAAATAAATAGGTAAACCAACCAGACTGTCTTCATATGTTCCCATCAGACGATCCATCGGCCCCAGTCTATACGTCAATTGATACACTGGGGGGCGCTACCTATTTGTCGGTCTCGAAATAATTTGTTCTGTCGGTACCACTACTTCAATGTCATTGTCATTATATGTCCACCAGTCGAAATATCTGCGCACGAACGAAAGCATCCTGGTCCCATTATACCGATGCTACACTGCGCCGATCGATCTGGCCACGTCTGGGCCGCACGATGTGTCGATCCAACCACCGACTTACCAATAGCATTGTCAGTATAATGTTCGATACCTGCATCTGCTATACAATCGATGTACGTATCTCTACACAAATCGGTCAGGTCACAGATCGGCAGCAGCACTTCAATTTCGAACACCCGCTCGAGCGTTCTATCGATCGGAAGAAAGATCGATACCACCAAGCATCGTCACCAACAATGCCGTTCGATACCATCATGCGATCACCATCTATATGTCGACTAAAACATGTAACTATATATAAATATATATATATATATATATACATATGTTTGCAAATACCTATACAGTATGTCTGTGTCACTATACAAGAGCCGATGCAGTACCAACCCATCCATTACACACTATATCAATCCAATCGTCAATTGACCTGAATAACTACGGCGAAACACCAACCGAGGTGAGGCAGCCACAGGACGACCGCGGGACAACCACGGGATGACCGCGGGACAATCGCGCCACGGTGAGACGGTACGTAAGCTTATTGTACTGCTTAGCCCTAGCCTTGGCTGGCACATCAAAGTGACCAATCCCATTGTATGGGCACACCGATGTACACAATCACATGTTCGGGCTGCGCCCAGACGTGAACACGAACAGACACCCGACCGCTGGAATTACCAATCACTAGAAGTGGCCACCAGTTGCAAATGACACGTGACAAATGAACCCACATACTGCCCCATGAAATAGCCACTCCGTCATCAAACCTTGTCCACTACCCTTACCATATCCCAACGCGCTTGTTTTCTGCCCGCTTCTTGGCTTTCTTGTCTCTGAGTTTATCCTGGGCACTCGCGCACAAGGAGACGCACATATGGAGGGATCAAAACCATTCAGAACAAAGGGAATGAATGAAAGCAGACCGACGATGCTCAAGAAAGAGAAACCATGGCGCTCATGGAGGTGGGGATTGTCGCGATCGCGTTGGATGCGGATGAAGAGTGCAAGTGGTTGGAGGCGCAGGTTGGAAAGGAAGCGACTTGAGGTGGACCGATGCGAGGTGGAATAAGAGGTGGGGCGAAAGGGGACGTGACTTTGGGGCGGTAACCGGTCTACTTTAAGTGTGCTCAGCGATGGACGAAGAGAGGCTAGGCGGCTCCGTCGTCCGTCCCTACCCCCTCACTCCAGTCTCATTTCCTCACTCCCCCACCGTCCCCGTACCTACCCCTCACCTCTGCCGCTGCACGCTCCCAGGGTGCCATTATGCAGCTTCGCTGCCAGCTACCTTGTGATACGAAATCTGTGTATACACCAATACACCAATACTTTACGGCGTCGATAGCCAATGGAGGGGGCCGAGGACCTCCCTGCAGCCCCTCGGCCAACGAAGACGGCTGCAGGAAGGGGTACAAACGTACCTCCACCTTCATGCACCAATCAACCAATACAACCAGTAAACCAATTCCTCATATTCCTCCGTGGGGCCGTGAACGGGATTTATCCCCTGTCGGCTGACGGTGCCTGTCAATGTCAGTAATCTAATACTCGTTGGCGTCAGTTGCCAACCCAGTACACCAGTACACCAATGGTGACGGTTCGACCCGTGCCGCCGCGGTGTCACATGTGCCGCCGCGGCGTCACTCATGAGGTCGTTCCCGCTCCCCGCCCTTTAACCGAGCTCTCCAAGGACGGGTATGTAAAACTCTCCCAGCGCCACCTCCGTCTGCCACTTGGTGCGCAGGTGTGTGGCTGGGCCTACTCCCCTCTTCCCCCCCTCCCCTTCTCTAAGGATGGGTATATAAAAATCGCCGTCGCCGTCGCCGTCGCCGTCGCCTCGTCGTCTTCGGTCGTCGTCGTTGTCGTCGTTGTCGTCGTCGTCGCCGTCGTCGTCGCAGCCGTCGTCGTCGTCGTCGTCGTCGTCGCCGTCGCCGTCGCCGCCGCCGCCGCCGCCGCCCAATCTACATGTCTGGAGCAGCGGCCCTCGCCGAGAGCTGTCCAGGGGCCGCCTTGGATCGTCCCCCCCTGTCGTTTTGCTTCGGCTTCAGGCCCCCCGGTCAGGCCCGCTTTCCTCTTTCAGGTTTCCCGTTTCAGGTGCCCCTGTCAGGACTTTTGGCCGCAGCTCCGAAGGCAGGACCCTAGCTATTATGAGCAGCAGCTTCCGAAACGCTCCCCGTCGCCGCCCCCCCCCCTCCCCTGGCCCTCCTCTCCTCTCTGCTCCCCGCCTCTCCGCCCTTCCCTCCCTCCTCCCCCTGCCCCTCCCTCCTCCCCCTCCCCCTCCCTCCCCTCCTTCCCCCTCCCCGCTCTCCCCTCCTTCCCCCTCCCACTTCCCCCTCCGAGCGGATCCGCGTCATTACTTCCCTCCTTCAGGTGTCCCTGCCAGGACCTTTGGAGGCCTCCACTGCCGCTGGGATCGCCCCATCAGCTGCACGCGGGGGGCTGGGACTTTCTACTCCTGATTTGGGTGTGTGGTCGTGTGTGCGTGTGTGTGTGTGTGTCTCTGTGTGGCGTGTGTGTGTGTGTGTGTCGTGGGTTATGGGTGTATGCCCCTGCGGGTATTCCACCCATGGGATAAAGCCAATAAGTGTTTTGGGTGTACCAGTCCATCCATGTTGTTTTGGGTGTACCGGCCTATCCGCTGTTGAATATCCGTGCTTTTGGGTGCACCGGTCCATCCGTGCCGGCGGAGAAAATAAATCGCACCCGCGGGGATACAGGTTGTGGATACCTCCGGCCTGTGACCCTTGTCGGCCTCTGGGGGCCTCCTCTGGTCACCGGGCTTCGGCCGGGTTGACGTCACCACGTTTCGCTTTCGCACGCCAGGTAGTGCATCCCTGCCTCTGCACGATCCCGGGGTGCCATGATGCAGCTTCCATGCCAGCTACCTTGTGATACGATATCTGTTTATACACCAATACAGCAATACTTTACGGCGTCAATAGCCAATGGAGGGGGCCGAGGACCTCCCTGCAGCCCCTCGGCCAACGAAGACGGCTGCAGGGAGGGGTCCAAACGTGACTCCACCTCCATGCACCAATCAACCAATACACCAATAAACCAATTCCTCATATTCCTCCCTCCCCCCCATTCCGTTTGTCACTCCTTGGCCATCACCCTCTCTCTCCCTCCCGCCTCCCTCCCGCCTTTGCCTCCATTCCTGAGTCGAGGGCTGTGGAAGGAACGCCGCTCATGCAAGAGGCATCGAGGCTGGAAGAAAAGGGACAAGAGAAACAGATAGGGAGAGACAGAGAGAGAGAGAGAGCAACGTGGGCTGGCAATTGGGGAAGAGAAATCAAGGAGAGGGGGAGAATGGGGAAGGAGGCGGCGGGGAGGAACAGGGACAGGTGGCGAAGTGTGGGGGGGTAAGCGAAGCCTCCTAATAAACTACTACTACTGCTGCTACTACTACTACTACTACTACTACTACTCCTACTACGACTCCTACTACTACTACTACTACTACTACTACTACTACTAGAACTTCTTCTTCTACTGCTACTACTACTACTACTACTACTACTACTACCACTACTACGGCCACTGATACTACTATTACTAGTACTAGTAGTAGTACTGCTACTCATACCGCGATGAATACTACTTGTTCTCCTAGCAGTAATGTTAATAGTAGTACTACGACCGCTATTACTAATACCGCTACTACCACTACTACCGCTACGAATACTACGTAGTATTGTTAGTAGTAGTAGTAATACTACAAGTACTACTACTAAGACTACTACGACTACGCCTACGATTACGACTACGACTGCTACTACTACTTCTACTTCTACTTATACTTCTAGTTCTACTTCTACTACTACTACTACTACTACTACTACTACTACTACTACTACTACTACTACTACTACTACTACTACTACTACTACTACTACTACTACTACTCTACTACTACAATTACGACCTCGACCACGGCTAGTATTACTACTACTACTACGACTACGACTACTACTACTACTACTACTACTACTACTACTACTACTACTACTACTACTACTACTACTACTACTACTACTACTACTATTGCTACTACGACTAGAACTACCACGTCTACTACGACTATTAATACTACTACTACAACTACCACCACGACTACTACGACTACGACTACTACTGCCACTTCTCCTACTACTTCTACGGCTACTACGCCTACAACTACGACTACGACTACGAGCACAACTACGATTACGACCACGACTGCGACTACTACTCATACTGCTACGAATATCACTGCTACTACTACTACTACTACTACTACTACTAGAATTACGACTGTTACTAGCAGTAGTATTACTACCACTACTACTACTACTACTACTACTACTACTACTACTACTACTACTACTACTACTACTACCACCACTACAACTACGACTACTACCACTACTACTAATACTACTACGACTACGAGTACGACTACGGCTACTACTACTGCTCCTACT